CCCCAAAACCCCAAAACCCCAAAACCCCAAAACCCCATATCGCGAAAAATTAAAGTTTATTTAAAGTTAGTTAGTATGGGAAATTGCTGTTCGAACCACTGAAATCGCCTCTTTGAGCCAAAGAATGAGTTCCAGTGCACTATTACAAATGATTTTGTTGAATTTAATGGCTCAGAGCACTTTAAGTAAGTTTATCTATTAGTGTTTATATTGGCTATTTCTGTTTAACTACCAATGTGATACAATAACTAACTGATTTAGGTCAGAAAACATTAAAAATAACTGTCATAAATGAAAATAAGAGGATTTTACTTTCTGAGCTTGGAATTTCAGATGGAAGCAATTCTGACTGAGACTGCAAACTGATTTATGATAAGTATTCAACTGAGGTAAGTATTCTTAATAGAAATAGCCTAACACTTTAATTCTGTACACCAATTTTATCCCTCAATCCAAGAGGCATCCTGATTCCATTTCTAGAAGAACAAGAGTAACTTCTCGTTTGCACAAGTTGTCAGCCCTGAAATGATCCAAAGTAATAAATTTGCTGAGAGAATAAGCAAGTATGTAACTCAAAAATTAAATATAGAAAATTAAAGGGAAATAAATCTTCTCAGTTGAGATTTGGAGCACAACTACAAAGAGATTTCCAGAATAATTCAACTTCAAATTCTTCTGATAAGAATCAGGAACAAAAGAATATTAGAAGAAACTACTCCTTTGAGTTATTTGGCGATTCTTTGAATTTTGTAGGAGACTTTGACACTCCTGCTAAAAAATAAAGTTAAAGATGATAGTCATAGAAACACAACTGGCATTTTTGGAGGAGTCTTTCATACCGATCACAAACTAGCTCTTGAAAGATGCCTACAATCATTAAAATTTGAAAGGAGTCTAAAGTTAGAACCAAGAAGAAGCTTTCAAAACGATATCAAAACTTGATATCTTGATAAAATTAAGATTGAAGAGCATAAAGGTATTTCAACGAAATCAATTTACCTCATCAAAGCCATATTTCTACTTAGCAAAAAATGAATTTTTATGTTACACACGCCTTCTAAATTAATGGATTGGATCATATTATTGAATAGAAACATAGGTTCTTGATTTGTATGCTTAGCAATTTGAAAATTTTTTATGCAATCTGTATAAAATTAAAATTTCCGTCACTTTAAATTTGGAAAATCTGTAACTAAATTCTCACTTGGAGATTTTTAATATTTTTATTATTTGCTTGGTAATTTCTGTCAGAGATTTTTAACTTTTAATAGAAACTAGACTCGATCTTAAGCCATATCAGAAATAGATTGGCAAAAACAAACATTTTTAATTATGATAAAGTCGATCGATGTGACAGTAAATTGTCTACAATTGCCACTAAATGGCATAGACATACATTTGGACTCAACTCTCAGAGAGAATCTAGCCAGATTGTAAGGATTTACCATTGATTATGCTAAAACATGTAGGATGATGATAGTATTGATGATTGAGATGAATTTGAGGTTTGAGTTGACCCTCCTGTTTTCCAGACTACCAAAACTTCTGCAATTTTTCCATCACAAAAGAAGTTGCCACAAAGCTCACAACAGAACTCAGAGAGAGCTAGTCAGAGTATCGCTCAATCCAAAGGTATTTTTATTTTAAATTCTAGAAGAAAATGAAGCATGTCATCATAACATAAGCTGGAATATATTCAATGAGTCACCCTATTTAAATTGAGACAGTAGTCTGGATAGAGAAGTTTCCGAGAGCTTAGAGGAAACAAAGGATTCTCCTACTTCGCCCAACCAAATTATCGAAAGAATGAAGCAGAGATTTAATTCTAAAGCTCATATGATTGAAAAGAAAATTATTAAGAGGTTGCTTAAATCCGAGGTGCAGAAAATAAAGAGGATCAGTTCTATATTCCACATTTCAGAAGCTATGAGTGGTAAGAGAATTGCATAATATTATAGAAAAAGAGCAAAGATTGCCGATGAGTGAAAGTGAATTTGAAGAGGGTCCTAATTTTTATTGAAGTCATAGTTCAAATCTGCCATCAAAGCTTTCTGATGATTCTTCTCTTCAAAGAGAATTGGAGTCTGACAAGAGCCAAACATTATTTGAATCTAGCATGATATCAGATTTCAAGGATCCTACATCTCAACCTGGTACTTATTCAATGCAGAGGAGTCAATGTAATATCAACCATCCATGGGTAAGGCATGCAAGTTGCTCTAGTATTATTAATACTTCTCCCAATAATTTCAATTATTTATGCATCATATGGGGTTTTGGGGTTTTGGGGTTTTGGGGTTTTGGGG